GTTAGCACCCAACAACAACAAATTCTGCAAGGGGTATCTAAATATCACGAATGACTATGAGATGTATCGGCAACCGACAACGACATGCTTTGCGAGGGGGTGAGAACAATCATCCTGCGCCCTACTTCAAATGTTAGCACCGAAGGGGTGTCCGAGTCTTTTCTAGTTCTGGAAGCGGGTGATGTAGGCTCGCAGACTCTCGTGTTGACTCTACTTGAAGTCTTTTTAAGCAGTGTGAAACGAAGAGTATCTATAACTCATAGTAGATACTCTTCGGTTGAAAGACCGTTGAACCACCGAAGGGCCAACTCCTTCATGGTGGTTAAAAAGAAATGACACATTATAGGGTCATCAATTTAGAGCAGACCGACGAATGATTCGAACGAAGCTATGCGTAAATCGGGTTGGTCCTTGTAAGAATCCAGACGAGGGATCCTTTGCATGGGCGGTGGTGTTGCTTCTTTAATCTGACGCATAAAAGCCTCTATTGCAGCTGGACAGGTGCTTGCATTCACTCTTCCCATCACCTGTTTGCTTGCGCAGATGCGATTGTGTCGGTGTGCTTGGACTTGCCTTGCCCCTCTATCCGCTGATTGCTAACTTGCATGTCTAGAATAGATGGGTTCCCCGGTGGAGCCTTTTGAAGGTTGACCTCCAGTGGTTTCGATTTCAGATGAGGCGCCTGGTCGTTTTTCTGGGTGATTGCTGCCTTGAGGATCTCAAATTGCTCTATCATGAGGGTCATTCGGGCTTGTCAGCGCTAAACTTGTACATGAACATTTGGTTGTGTAGAATCTTTATTGGGTTTCATGCGTGCTATCTCTCTTTGAGAAGTTTCTTCTTCGTAGTCTTTTCTACTTCTTGTTTGTAGTATATACACGTTCACTGCACATCTTTTAGGATGTTCGATCCTAAATTGTCCTTTGTGGACACGCCCCGAAAGTTTAGGATTTAGTGAAGGAAGGAAGAGAGAAAGAGAGTATAACAAGCTAGTAGGTTCCTATAGAGAGAATCCGTAAAAGGTCATTTTGTTCATATTTTTGTCTTTTATTTATATAGGCGTATTTTGAACAATTACAGAAAACATGGAGCAGTTATGAAAACCACTCTTAATACAGTTGATGCTTTAATTAATTATATGGATTTCATACTATATCAGTATTACAATTTGAATTTTAATATGTGGTCAGTCGACTTGCTTGAATTCAGTCGACTAAGGGGACAGACTAAGTGGCAACCGCGCCATGGGCTGGTTGGCCGAAACTTCAAGTTGAGTGCCGATCTCGTCCGCGGCGGTAAAAGGGGGTCGACAGATTAGCTGTAGTAAAGGCTGGTCGACAGATTAGCCGTGATCAAGGATTCTCGCCTATGCCTCGGCCGGCCGTTCGATTCTCTCACAATAGTTTGTCGGTCGATTTTTGACCACGTGGTTGGCAGTAGGCAGTGAGACGCCTTGGTTGTCTGGTTGTTGTTTGGGTCACTCGAATGCTTTAAGATTCGTGCTGACAGTTGCGGTGCACAGATATAGAGGCACACGCACACGCAAATCAGAAGCATTATGTTTGTGAAACTGTTGCTCCATTTTATGCTTTGAGCATTGAAGAAAAAATGAACACTTCAGCATTGCATTCTGCACTGATTTAGACTGTTGCGATGTTCCTTAGTAGTGATTGATTGAGCTAGTAATTGTGTCAGTATGGCTCTAAAGTGCTCTTGTAGACTTAATGTGTAGCCTGAGGACTTAGCAAACTTGGTCTTTAGTTAGACTTGGTGCTATATCTTATGTCTAGCTCAAGACCAAGTGACCCAGCTTGGTTCTAAGCGAAAACCCAATTTTGGAGGAGATTATACAGATTTTTACTTTATTACAGCCTGTTTCTTTAGTTTAATTGCCTCCATGGCGACGTAGAAGTCATAATTTTGAATTCAAATCTAACCACTCTGTTACGCAAGTGTAAACAACCTCCCAAGGCCACTGACTTGGTGTAGGCTCATTCATTGAATAGATCATTTATTTACTTTTGGCTTGAACTAATTCAAGTTGAAAGAATTAAATCATTTGTAAGATTAAAAAAATGTAACTAGGAAGTTTATATTCATTGCAAGTGAAATGTTCATAAGCACCACACTTCTGAACCGAGCTAATATGTAATGTTCTGCTTTCTTTATCCAGAACCCTTCCCTTCATTTTTCTTTCTAGGGATGTTCACTTTTGCATTTATTGAAGCGTTTCATCCAATCTGTTGATGTTTTAAAATCTTGATTTTCTATTATGATTAGCAACGTCTATATTTATAGTATATTATCATCCAGGTGAAGGTGTTGGATTCATACCTCAATACCTCATGCTCTTTATTGTTAATCAAATGTGTTAGACCTTCTGTTAAGAGATAAAAAAAGGGTTGAAATCTGACATAAAGACACATATAGGGGAATTGGCATGCACACATGTAGGCATGCATCCTACTTGTTTCAATATCTTTATTTTTTCAAGTTACCGATGCTAGTAAGCATCTATCAGCTTATCAACCATAATTTGAAGTTGTTTTAAAAAACCGGGCTTTGTCCAATCACTATTTTGAGGTTGTTCAGGTCTTTTAGTAAAATGCTTAATTTTTTGGCATAATGCTCTTTAAGTCACACGTAGGCCTATTAAATATTATCAAAATTTGAAATCATTCAAATATCTCTCAAAATTTGGCTCAACTCAAAATTGATTCGAGTTGATTTGGTGTCCGTTTGGTACAAGTGCAATTATTTGTAAAAGTGATTGTAGAGCTATTATGGAAAAAATAACCTTTTTCAAATTGTTGTTGTTGAAAGCTACTTCTCACTACAATAATTTGTAAAAAGCAGCAAGAAAGAAATAGTTAAACAGGCGTGTTGCAGCGGTCAAGAAAATAAAATAGTGAAATAGCTATCCCAAATGGACCCTAATTAATTTTGAGCTTAATTATTGACTCTAAATCAATTTGGAAGCTGACCTAAATACTTCGATTATTGTTTGAATTGTCTTAAAATATGTATATGAAAATATATATTTATTTAATGTATTTTTCATAATATTAGGCATGCTTTTATATTGTCTAATTATATAAAATTCATTTTAGTCAACTTGAAATTGAAATATCTAGTTTTGAACTGAGGCTAAGTCCTTCGAACTCAATTAGATATAATACCATGATCAATAGGTCGGTTAAGGATTAGATCTGAAGTTAATTAGGCATCATCTCAAGCTCAGCTAAAAGACATTGGTATCAACTCTGGAAATCTTGACTTAAAATTTAACCATTCTGGTTATATGCTGGCTAGTTTGATCTCAACTCAAGGTTGGCATGTTCCATTTGGCAAAAAAATTGGTACTATTTAGTTTGATCTCAACTCAAGGTTTGACCAAGGGTTACATTCTTTATCCTACACACATTCAAATCCAAATATTGTTCAAAATATTTTGATAACAAAACTTTGCATTTTAGTTGACATCCAACACCAAGAATAATCACAAGGCAAAGATTGTTGGAAAATATTTTGACCAACTGAATGTATTTTGTGCATTAAAATTAAGATCGAATTGAAAATAAAACTAATCCGTTGACTAAGAAATATAAATAAGATATAAATTAATATGAATCAAATCAAATAACTCCAGAAATCTTGGTCTGAAATGTTAAGATTTCATCTCTACCATTAAGTTTCAAGATTATTCATTCCGTGGAGAATTCTCTACTGCTGAAACTCATAAGCTGAAACTCGTAAGTTAGCTTTTGAGGCTCATTCCTTCCTTCCATTATAGCATGATCAAATGGAGTTCTGTAGAAACAAGCGCTTTATTTGAGAACCAAACAAATGATAAACGTGTTAGTGAAGTGAACATCTTTTAAGTATGGTATTGCTTTTTCTTTTAGGGGCACTTACTTATATACCACACAATTCTTATGTATTTGCATATCTAACATCTAAACATTCATATTTGCATGCAATATACCATAGAATTCTTATGTATTTGCATATCTAACAGCTAAACATTCATTTTTGCATGCATATCACTAAAATCTTGAGCATCACATGAAAAATACCACCACCACTTTTTTTTTCTAAATTTGAAATGCACCTTTTCATGCATAAGTTTATGACACAAGCGTTGTAAGTATAAATATCAAACCTTGGACGGTAGATATGTAAATACATAAGAATTGTGTGGTATGTATGTAAATTTCCCTTTCTTTTTTTGAAATAAGCCAAAGCTTCATTGGCTGCAGCATACTTATCTACATTTAAAAAAAAAAAACCCACAGCCCATTTTCCTTTATTCATTGTCTATTCAAAACGGATTCTAACTATATGTTGAAATTTGGCCTTCACCAAATCATTGATAATTCTCTTTTCATTTAAATATTTTTTTAAATAATTAAAACTTATAAATGCATGCATAAATATGTGCATATCTGCATTTATGCATTTTAATTTAATCTGAAGCTAGCCCAATCTGTTTCGAAGTTCTTTCAATTCAAATTCCATCTGAACCATGCTTGACTCATTAGTCAGATTGTTTACTTTGATTCAAGCTTAAAATAGATTCAATTTTCAAGCATCTTCAGTCATAGAGCCAAATTCACAGGTTATGATGCCTTTTTTTTATTGCAGAATACTTAATCTAACAGCTCACTTTGTGAAATAAATCACAATACAAGAGCATGAATTTAGTATGGTAGGTATTCTAAGGATTTTACAACTTTTGCTTTTATAATATGTGAAATAATATTTTGATGGATAAACACAATAAACTCTTCAATGTCAAGGCTCAACAGAATCAAATGCAGATCCCCTTTTTTTTAATTTTCACTGCAAGGAAGCGAATGCCATGTCAAATTTTCAACTATCTTTTTACTTTTTTATTTTTCTATTAAAGTGTGATGGCTCTTACTTTCTCTATATATACAGATAGACTTATGAAAGAAATGATCGTTTATGATTCTAATGCTGCTAATAATTCTTTTCAGAAACTCACACCAGCCATATATCACCCTATTCATAACAGGACTGTTCCTCCACCAAACCAAGGTACTGTTTTTCCAGAGCTTACTAATAAAAAGACTAGTGGCTAAAATTTCTTTCCATTGAAAGCAGCTTAACTACATATATGTGGTTTCAAACTTAAAGATTCTTGCAGTTTTGTTGCTCATTTCACATGAGAGTATCTGGCTTGATGTTATAGGTTCTCATGACCTAATGAAACTCTCTTAAGATGCGGAAGATCATTTGCTGAAGTTTGATGATGATTGCATTTTTTATTGACCTTTTTATTCATTAATTCTATTGTTCAATATTGTTCAATATTGTTTTATGTCAAAACGTCTACTTGTTAAATGTCTGAGGAACTTATAACCTATATAAGGTTGCTATGTTAGAAGAGGAACTTAAGATCATTTGCCGAAGTTTATTCATTAACCTATATAAGGTTGCCCAACAAGTAGACTTTTTGTCCCTATATAAGGTTGCTATGTTTTTTTATGGAGAATGCAAATTTTGTTTTTTGCTCTCTCTATTACTATTGCTCGGTCTCCCTTTCTCTAGTATCTCCTTTCCCCTCCCTTGAAAAGCCCCATCTTCCTTTCTTGCCTTTTCAGTTAAACAAAGTTCTCTTGCCTCCTCTGTCTCTCTCTCCCCTTCATTTTTTTCACTCCCTCACTTCCCGATCCCCTCTACCCCTTCAAGTAGGTTTCAGTCCCATATGCCCTTCAACTAACTTTGAACATCTTAGGGCTTATTAGGAACCATTTTTATCTTTTGTTTTTGTTCTTATTTTTGTTTTTATTTTCAATAACATATTTGTTTGGTGCATATTTTAAGCGTTTTTATTTTTTTTATTTTTAAATGCAAATCTACTTGCTTTTAAAAACATTCAATGCAATATTTATATCTTTTGAGTATTTTAAAAACAATCACTACGAAAAAATGTTTTATTTCAAAGTAAATCATAAGCAAAATAAAATAAAATTAAAAAAAATATACCCAAACAACCCTTAGTTGAGGATTGGAGGAACGTCAACTCCAATGCATACACAATAAGAAAGTTATTTCATTAAAAAACAATCAGCACTAACAAATATATTTTATTTCGAAGTAAATCATAAGCAAAATTAAAATTTCCAAACGGCTCCTTAGCTAGAGGATAGAAGGAACGTCAACTCCAATGTGTACACACAATAAGAAAGTTATTTCAAGGTGCCACCATGACTAGAGAAGTGGATATCACCTCCGCTTAGATAATCACATCAAATTACTGAAGTGAGCTTCATAAATTATTTACAATTAAAGGTGATTAGGATTTGTCTAGATAAATTAATCAAGTTGAGGCAGTTTATGTTATTAAATTAGAGAAGTGAACTTTAATTAATAGTTGGGTATTTTGTCTTCAACCACAACATCTCGAGTTCAAGTAGTAGCACATGGGTGCGTGCGTGCGTGCGTGCATTTTTTTTGTTTTTGGTTTTTTTTTTTATTGTTAAGAAAAAACGTTGATTGTAGCACTTCTCAATGTTAAACGAGTTCTAATTGTGGTAGGCTTAGACCTTTATTTGTTTTGGTGCTCATTCTATGTGTAATCAATTAACTTTTCTAAGCAGACTAGAACTAATGCTAGCTACGGGCATAATGGTGGGAGCACTTAACCAACAAAACTTTCAACTGTAGAATCATGCTTAACAAATCCTCCCTCACCTAAGAGCTATCATGTACTCTTGGCTTAAAACTCTGAGAGTCAAAATTATAATGACAGCATGGATTATACTCATGGATTTTGCTCGACCATGATATAAAACTCTATGCCTTACAGGAGCCACAAGCTGTATGGTCCACTAAGTACCAACCAAGCCATCGACTCGTACTGATTTTTTACGAGTCGAAGGCCAACGTTGTTAGTCAACCCCATTTTAATCCTAAAGGCTACCTATTGGATGGGCTCAATTTTTAGTATTTCTTAGCCAACATTTTTCTTAAATATTACATGTGAAACTAAATTCAACACTCTTGCATTCCTTAACTACTGCAAGAAAAGAAAATGTTGTAATTTTGCTCTTTTAGAGGCCACAATGTCATATACTCTCGTGAGTAAAGGCATCGAGTCATATAATCTTTTCTTCCAAACTTGATATTTGAAAATATGTTTTTATGAAAATGCCTAATTGTTTACCTTATAATCTTTTGAACTGAAATTGAATGTGGCCAATGATATGTCAAAGCCAACTTTATTGTACGATAAAGATCTTCCACGGAAAACATTCTGATTCTGATTGTAGAAAGTTAACGCTATAATCTAGAGAATTAGCTAGGAAGAATATTTAATCAGATTGGCTGGGAACTTTCCAGCCTATTGCATGTTTTATAAATGAATGTGTATTGTGCTATGCATTAAGCTAAGATTTCTCTGACCCTCTCATCTCCCTGTATCTGCAGTGATAACAACTGAAGCTAGAAATATACTCCTGAGACAAATCTATCAGAAAGCAGAAGAAAAGGTGCCTATTTGTTTCCTCATTTTATTAGTAAAAAAAATCATTTGCCTTTTCATTTAAATTGATAAAAAGTATATTAGTTGCGGCGCATAATCACACAGTTACATATGCTTAGGGGGAGATATGAAATCATTAATTATCATATCTACGTCTTTATTAGTAGTAGATTTGTACACATTACATATTGTTTTCTAAGGGGTTTTACATATCACCATCCAAGGCTTTAAATGTACCTAATTAGCCACCCACACTTAAAATTTTACATTTCAACCACAAAAAAATTACCCAAAACTTTTAATATAACTGATTGACCACTCCCGTTTTAAAAGGAAATAAAATTTTGGATGGTTGAAGTGTAATTTTTAAATTTAGGTGGTCAGAACGTTATATTTAATGTTTTGAGTGATTGGTATGAATAGAAAGTAGATATATAAAATATAATTTCAACAGATTCATGAAGTTCAAATTATTGACCCTCAACTCATGATGCAGCTGAGACCAAAGAGAGCTGCAACAGATCATCTAACACCAGAACATGATTGCAAACAGCCTAGAGGTGCCCTTTCAAATGATCCATAGCTGACATTTTTTTTTAATCAGAAAATACTACAAGAAGCTGATGCCTGCCTTAAAAAATAAAATTTTTTTTTTCTTAAATCAAAAAACACTACAAGAAGCTGATGCCTGCCTTAAAAAATAAAAATTATATCTATATATATATATATAAAGAAGTTGATGCCTGCCTTTGTAGCATTTTATGGAACTTCTAAGAAATTTCTAGCGCTTTTTTTTTCTTTTCTTCAAAGTTAAAAGTCATTCTCTGCTTTGGCTAACTTGAATGTCTGTGGCTGTCCTTTGATATGCTGAGAGCATCTCTAGCCATGTTGTGTGCTGGAATTATTGGTTTTTCATATCCATTTATGCGCGTGAACTCTATTCAATTGTGCACATTATTCATTGCTTGAGCTGATCCTAAACCAGTGATCTTCATTCATCACATACTTCTTCTTCTTAGTAAGGTATTAGTTAATATTTTTTTCACTATGAAAATTTCATAATCTAACATCTTTCTTTAAAGTGAAAGTAGTTAAGCCTCAAAAAGCTGGTAAATAAACTTGATTCATTCTAAGTAAAATATGTAGCTGCTCGTATAAGTTGCAATTTTATGATAATCAAGTGTTTTTAGTAGGAACATAAAAATGGACCTTACAAATAATAAAGACACAGAATAATATTAGAAAAGTTTAATCCTTTGTATGACATCTATGCTATTTTATTAATCTTGAAATCTGTTGAAGGAAGAGCAGGATGGCGAGGAAAATTTTTTCAAGAAAATCTTAATTACAATTTTTTTTTGTAATTTGTAATTTCAAGCTTAATACTAAATTTAATTTGCTCGAAATCATACAAAATTGATTAAGTTATATTTTGATTGAATTTAGAAGTTCAAGGAATCTATGTTTTGGATTCACACAAATTGACCAGTTTATGAATCGGTCCATCAAAGTAGCAACAAGATTATACAGCCCTTTAGAAATTTGCTGGCTGGCTTACGTATTTGAAGATTATTTTTGGTAGATTTGCAGGTATATTAAAAAATAGTTACGTAACTTTTATGACAGGTAACAGTTATGTAATTTTAAGCTTAATACGAAGTTTAATTTGCTCGAAATCATACAAAATTGATTTATATTTTGATTGAATTTGGAAGTTCAAGGAATCTATGTTTTGGATTCACAATCGGTCCATCAAAGTAACAACAAGATTATACAGCCCTTTAGAAAATTGCTGGCTGGCTTACGTATTTGAAGATAATTTTTGGTAGATTTGCAGGTATATAAAAGAATAGTTACGTAACTTTTATGACAGGTAACAGTTATAAAAAATTTTTAAAGCCTACAATTTCAAATCACATAACAAGTATCATGTATGTCCCATTAAGTGTGAAATGCATGATTTCATGCATAAACTTTAGGGGCATTTCAATGCATACCATACGATTCTTATGGATTTACATGTCTAACATCTAAACATCATATTAAAAATATCTCATTACTATCTTTTAAAAAATGAAATCTGCCTGTTCATAAATTTATGATACAAGTCGTTAAAATAAATATCAACTTTTAGATGTTAGATATATGAAGTGGTGTGTATGTAATTTTTTCTAGATTTTGAAATAAGCAAAGCAAAATAAGCATCATTTGGCTTCCGATAGGCGGTCATTATCTTTTCTCTAATGTTTATAGGTGACCATGTTGTCAAGACAAATTTTCAGAGATTGAAAGCATAAACTGGAACTTAATGCAACTTCTGGGGTACAACCAACAACCAAAAAAAACTCATTTTTGTTCACAATTGTATGCCAGAAGGCTGCCTCGACAAGTAACTCTGGCTTGGACGAGGATTCTCTAAACCTGAAAATAGAGGCTAACATAATCAAAGGCATCATCACCAAGGCTTCTTTATAGTTTATATCCGGAGGAATAGGGACAGATAGGCCTTCGAAATGAATAAACCAACACTTTTCTCCTCCATATCTAACTCAATGGTGACTGGTGAGATGGGAGAATTTAAGCTCACAAGAGTGCATGACAAAGTGCCACAGAATGACACAAATGGCCAAGGATGTGAAAACTGAACCTATCATTGAACCTGCAAATGAAGGTTTAAGATTCAATAGTTTAACCAACTAAAATGAACCTGACATAATAAATATAAAAATTAATTTAATATGATTTAAAATGATGCGATGATGGAAATCAGCGACCAAAAATATACATAATTCATATATTTAATATATTTAAAAATAACAAATTAAACACTAGATAAAAAACTCATTAAAATACAAAGATAAAAATATATGCACATTAAATATAGTCAACTTAAAAAAATATTATAATATAGATCAATAAACATAAATAGATTTTATAATAAAAATATAATTTATAATAATTAAAAAGAAAATAAAATTTATATAATAAAAAATTTAATTTTAAAATGTTATTAACACATCCCATGTTATCGCAAACATTTAACATTTTTAAAAAAAAAAATCTCACGGCTCGCAACCCTACTTTAACACAACTACTATAGTCCCACTTTATAGATGAGGGGTATTACACTAGTTACATGCACAAAAGAAGCCACATCATGAGATTGTAACGTGCATGGATGAAGGACATGTCATGCATTGGCTTCACTAAGTTCATGAAGTTCTAACCTTTTAATATCTAAGAATTGAAGTTAAACTTAATATAACTTTAACATATTATATTTTTATAGAAACAACATTAGTCATTTAGTTGATGATTAGAGATATTTAGCAGTAATATGTTCTAACTAACCAACTCTATATGACCTCGACACATTGGTTGGAAGTTAAGACCGACTTTTATCAATTTGATATAAAAATTATATTTAAGCTTAACCGGACTAATCAGAGGTTCAGTTCAAAGTGAAATTGATTAACATGCGATTCATCCAGTTAATTCATGTCTATCATTCAGACAAATTACAAGCTCATGTTACATAGTTTTTTTATGTAAGTGTTACGTGAAGGTCCTCTTACAAATTTAGTGTACGCGAAAAATGTCTTTTCAATTCTATCCGATACTTTGATAAAACGCAACTGGAAGCTAATGTGAATATGTTTATAGGGCTATATGCACGATACAATAACACATCTTTCAAAAAAAGTTTACAACGCAAACCCTAGAAAATTTGATAAGATTTACATTTTACAAAGTTTTCAGGTCGTTACATAATTTTACTGCAAAAAACAAGCACTTCAATCATTATGTCGTCTGCGGAACAATCAAAAACAGCAGCCTCCAAATTTCTTAACTAGTCTCCTGCAAGTGAACAAGAAACTTCCAAAGGCTATAACAAGAATCATTAGCCAAAATAATAATTGAACATGAAGACCTAAATAACTAAGATAACCCCAATCGAAAATATTTTACTGAGTAACAATCAGGTCTAGTTTTTTGGTTGTTAAGCTTCTGAGTAAATTATGTCAGATAATCAGCCAATGCATTCATCAATATCTAGTAATCAACAACACAAAAGTTGGCCACAAAACAAAAGAAGTAAATCGGCCAATAAATAATAAAAGTAAGGCTAACACAATCAACAAAACATATATATTTGTTATTACTGTATACAGCTCCTTAATTTTTATTCTTATGCTATTTGTTATTACAGAACAACTGATCAGTTGCCAAACAATGGAAAAAAAAAACTATGAATAAAAATTGATAAGAGAATGGATAATTCAGTGAGTAAAGAGCATACATTGGCCCAGCCAACAGAACTACACATTATAAGTTAAGGGACTCAATTGAAAAAATGCGAGAAGGAATAACTTACAACAATGCTGAGATATAGAAAACACCAGACAGCAAATCATATCAAGTCTAGCCAGTATAGCCTCCCCACCTAAGATTTATACTAGTTTCAAAATCATCATTTCTTTTTTCGGAAATTTACATAGGCAGAACCCAATTCTTAAGCATTTACTTATCTCACGCCCAAACTTTGATTTTTACAATCCAAGCATCTTTAACTGTGTATTAAAATGAGGATTACACTATTTAATGCTGAAATCCACTTACCATATATAGTTAAGGGTGCTTTTGCTGTAAAAATCAGAGTTTGGGTGTGTGAGATAAGTAAATGCATAAGAATTGGGTGCTATGTATGTGAATTCCCCTTTTTTTATTGTGGTAGAGAGGGACTAGAGACTTGGGTTCAGTTTAGAAAGGAGGTTAATTGAACAGTTGAGCCAAATATAAAACATTGCAGTCAAACCAACAAAACAGCCATATTAATATGTTTGCGGTTAAGAAACAATGCATTAAGTATGAAAAGAACAGAATTTTACAGCCAAATGAACAGCCATAGAAGCTTTCCAATCAGGCAAACTACTATAGATTAACTGAATAGAGACTCTATTGTTAATCTTAAAGATATGAATAAAAATAACAAATTGATGTATTTTTTTTTTTCAAAAAAAAATTTACCATATTGATGAAATTGTCTAGAAAAGGAATAAGATAATCAGATGATGCTTTCTAGACAAATGCATTTCATCAATACTTTAAAAGCAGAAAACCTGCTCAGAGTCCAGTGCAATCCATCATTTTGAAGCCATCTAACAAAATGGTTATTATAGGTACCCAAAAACAATAGAAATATGTACCAACTAAAATGAAAATTAAGAAAACTAAGACTTATCCAATCAAAGAAATAGATAAATGTAAAGTTCTGATTTCATGTCACTTCTCACTGAGTGCTTTAGTCTTCATTAGCAACAGCGAATTCAGGTTTCAAATATTTCATGCCAAAAACGAACAAATTCCATCTAATAATGCCAAAAGAAAAAAAAAAGGTGAAAAGCAAAAATAATAATAAATGATACAGTGTACGTCCAATTCAAATCAACGACTGCAAAACCTATCAACAGAAAGATAAAGGATACTTCCAAATATAGTTCAATGGAAGAAGGTGAAAGAAAAACACCATAAAATTGAGATAATCACAAACTAAAGAGAAGAAAGTAGCTCTCACTCAGAAGTTCCTGGACATTATTCTG